TAGTCTGGTGAGGTCACCTGTTGTGCGACGTGAACCCAAGATCCTAGTTGAGGCCATCCTCAGGGGAACCGAACTTGGCTTTTGGCCTCTGCTTGGTGACTCTGCGTTGTTGTGTATCCTGAAGTCTGCCTTGCAGGATGTTTACCCAAAGATCTGAGACCGAATGTTCTTGACTACTGAAGTGTTCCCCCAACTGGGAGGGAACATCCCCGTCTGGCGATTGTTGCACGGTGTCCATTCATCCGATGTTGTAGCGTTTGCAACATTTTGTCAATATACCATGCCCTGGGGTATCTTTGCCCACAGCCTATGAGATAGGCAACGTTCGCTGAGTCACATGAGTATCTGCCGTGCACGTGGTGGGTGGTGCTCCCACATGTGATGGTAGTGTCAAAAGAACAAAGAACAAAGAAAATTACAGTACAGGAACAGGCCCTTCGGCCCTCCAAGCTGGCACTGATCCAGATCCTCTATCTAAACCTGTTGCCTATTTTCCAAGGATCTGTATCCCTCTGCGCCCTGCCCATTCATGTATCTGTCTAGATACATCTTAAATGACGCTATCATGCCCGCCTCTACCACCTCCGCTGGCAACGCGTTCCAGGCACCCACCACCCTCTGCGTAAAGAACTTTCCACGCATATCTCCCTTAAACTTTTCCCTTCTCACCTTGAATTCGTGACCCCTAGTAATTCAGTCCCCCACTCTGGGACAAAGCTTCCTGCTATCCACCCTGTCCATACCTCTCATGATTTTGTAGACCTCAATCAGGTTCCCCCTCAACCTCCGTCTTTCTAATGTAAATAATCCTAATCTACTCAACCTCTCTTCATAGCTAGCGCCCTCCATACCAGGCAACATCCTGGTGAACCTCCTCTGCACCCTCTGCAAAGCATCCACATCCTTTTGGTAATGTGTCGACCAGAACTGTACGCAGTATTCCAAATGTGGTCGAACCAAAGTCCTATACAACTGTAACATGACCTGCCAACTCTTGTACTCAATACCCCGTCCGATGAATGAAAGCATGCCATATGCCTTCTTAACCACTCTGTCCACCTGCGTTGCCACCTTCAGGGTACAATGGACCTGAACACACAGATCTCCCCGTGCATCAATTTTCCCCAGGGCTTTTCGATTTACCACATAGTTCGCTCTTGAATTGGATCTTCCAAAATGCATCACCTCACATTTGCCTGGATTGAACTCCATCTGCCATTTCTCCGCCCAACTCTCCATTCTATCTATATTCTGCTGCATTCTCCTACAGTCCCCTTCACTATCTGCTACTCCACCAATCTTAGTGTCATCTGCAAACTTGCTAATCAGACCATCTATACTTTCTTCCAGATCATTTATGTATATCACAAACAACAGTGGTCCTGTGGAACACCACTGGTCACAGTTCTCCATTTTGAGAAACTCCCTTCCACTACAACTCTCTGTCTCCTGTTGCCCAGCCATCTAGCTAGTACACCCTGGACCCCATGCGACTTCACTTTCTCCATCAGCCTACCATGGGGAACCTTATCAAATGCCTTACTGAAGTCCATGTATATGACATCTACAGCCCTTACCTCATCTATCAACTTTGTCACTTCCTCAAAGAGTTCTATCAAGTTGGTAAGACATGACCTTCCCTGCACAAAACCATGCTGCCTATCACTAATAAACCCATTTTCTTCCAAATGTAAATAGATCCTATCCCTCAGTATCTTCTCCAGCAGCTTCCCTACCACTGACGTCAGGTTCGCCGGTCTATAATTACCTGGATTATCCTTGCTACCCTTCTTAAACAAGGGGACAACATTAGGAATTCTCCAGTCATCCGGGACCTCACCCATGCTCAAGGATGCTGCAAAGATATCTGTTAAGGCCCCAGCTATTTCCTCTCTCACTTCCCGCAGTAACCTGGGATAGATCCGATCCAGACCTGGGGACTTGTCCACCCTAATGCCTTTCAGAATACCCAACACTTCCCCCCTCCTTATGCTGACTTGACCTAGAGTAATCAAACATCGATCCCTAACCTCAACGTCCATCATGCCCCTCTCCTCAGTGAATACTGACGCAAAGTACTCATTAAGAATCTCAGTCATTTTCTCTGACTCCTCACATAACTTCCCTCCTTTGTCCTTGAGTGGGCCAACCCTTTCTCTAGTAACCCCCTTGCCCCTTATGTATGAATAAAAGGCTTTGGGATTTTCCTCAACCCTGTTTGCTAAAGATATTTCATGACCCCTTTTAGCCGTCTTAAGTCCTCGTTTCAGATTTGTCCTACTTTCCTGATATTTTTCCAAAGCTTCGTCTGTTTTCAGTTGCCTAGACCTTATGTATGCTTCCTTTTTCCTCTTTGCTAGTCTCACAATTTCACCTGTCATCCATGGTTCCCTAATCTTGCCCTTTCTATCCCTCATTTTCACAGGGACATGTCTGTCCTGCACTCTAATCAACCTCTCTTTAAAAGCCTCCCACATATCAAATGTGGATTTACCCTCAAACAGCTGCTCCCAATCCACAGTCCCCAGCTCCTGTCGAATTTTGCTATAGTTGGCCTTCCCCCAATTCAGCACTCTTCCTTTAGGACCACTCTCGTCTTTGTCCATCAGTATTCTAAAAATTACGGAAGTGTGATCACTATTCCCAAAGTAATCCCCTACTGAAACTTCAACCACCTGGCCGGGCTCATTCCCCAGCACCAGGTCCAGCATGGCCCCTTCCCGAGTTGGACTATTTACATACTGCTCGAGAAAACCTTCCTGGATGCTCCTTACAAATTCTGCTCCATCTAAACTCCTAACACGAAGTGAATCCCAGTCAATGTTGGGAAAATTAAAATCTCCCATCACCACCACCCTGTTGCTCCTACATCTTTCCATAATCTGTCTACATATTTTGTGCCTCTATCTCACGCTCGCTGTTGGGAGGCCTGTAGTACAGCCCCAACATTGTTACCGCACCCTTCCTATTTCTGAGCTCTGCCCATATTGCCTCACTGCTCGAGTCCTCCATAGTGCCCTCCTTCAGCAGTGTCTAAGTTGAAGATTTGACATGTCTTGCAGAGGTTGCCATGACAGGGTTGTACAGTGTTGTGGTCGATGCTGTCCTGAAGGCTGGGTAGTTTGCTCCAAACAATAGTCTGTTTAAGGTTTGGCAGATGTTTGAAGGCGAGAAGTCGAGGCGTAGGGAAGATCTTTGCAAGGTGCTCATCATCATCAATAATGTGTTGAAGGCTGCGAAGAACGTGGTGTAGTTTCTCTGCTCCCAGGAAGTACAGGACGATAGAGGGTACCCTATCATACGTATCCCGTGTCTGTCTTCTGAGGAGGTCATTACAGTTTTCCACTGTGGCACGTCGGAACAGGTGATCAATGAGTTGAGCATTGTATCCTGTTGCTATGAGGGCATCCTTCAACACCTTCAGGTCTCTGTCACGTTTCTCCTCATCCAAACAGATCCTGTTATGTGTAGGGCTTGTCCGTAGGGGGTGGCTTTTTTAATATGTTTGATGTGGAAGCTTTAGAAGTGCAGCATCATGAGGTTATCCATAGGCTTGCAGTAGAGTGAGGTACTGAGGTGTCCGTCCCTGATGGAGATGCGTATGTCCAAAAATAAGACTGATTCTGAAGAGTAGTCCATGGAAAATCTGATGATGGGATGAAACTTGTTGATATGACTCTGTAGCTGTTTCAGTAATTCCCCTCATGAGTCCAAAGGAGGAAAATGTCGTCAATGTATCTCCTGTATAGCATTGGTCGGAGGTTCTGTGCAGCAAAGAAGTCTTATGCAAACCTGTGCATGAAAATGTTGCATATTGTGGTGCAAATCTGGTTCCTATGGCTGTTCTGTGCGTCTGGATGAAGAACTGGTTGTCAAAGGTGAAGATGGCGTGGTCAGGGATGAAACGGATGAGTTGTAGGATTGCATCTGGAAATTGGCAGTTGGTGGATTTGAGTACTGAGGCTGTTGCAGCGACGCCGTTGTCACAGGGGATGCTGGTGTACAGTGCCAAAACCCCCATTTGTGACGAGAAATGTTCCTGGTTCGACTGGTCCGTGGATGCTGAGTCTCTGTAAGAAGTCTGTAGTATCACGACAGAAGCTGGGGGTTGCCTGTACAATGGGTTTCAAGATGCCCTCAACATAGCCGGAGAGGTTCTCACACAGGCATTTTATAAATTCCTACTTTAGAAATAAAACCAATCTGACTCAAAACCAAAACACAAACAGATTCTAAACACAGCCTTGCACTTAATGTGCATTATCTGACCTAAGATGTCACCTCTTCTTTACACTGATAAAACCTTTAGTTTTCTCAGGCCAATGACTTGAAAGTAATTTGGGTATTTACATATACATATTAAATCAATTAAAACCTTCTATCTGATTAAACATTTAACAGCACCTTAGGTTTGTTTAATACTTCCTCATCAATTGTGTGTCCTTTGATCTTTTACTTATAAATTCTGTGTCTGATTCCTCCTCTCTCATTAACACCTAAAGAAAGAGCAAGGCTACAAAAGCTGTTGGTCTATAACCTGGAGTCGTGTGATTTCTGGCCTTGTCTACTCCAGTCCAACACCAGCACCTCCACATTATGTTCAACAAATCCAAATATTGTACATCTACAGGCTGCCCAGTACCATTACCTGTAGTATTACTGATACTGCTGACGTGCTGCTTCTGTGAATGGCTCGCAGCTCTCCTGGAAATAGGTAAAACCTTTTAATCTCCAAGTTCAAGTCATTTGATACAAATTGCTGTTTTACAAAAGTGCCCACTCCTATCTATGCAGCTAATGAAGATCAAAATCAGTAAAATCAAAATTATTAAAATGTAACATATCATAATAGCTGTTGTCCATTAGCTGCAGTTATTCACCTGGAGTCTACTGGTAAAACAATAATGAGTTTCATTTCAAAATGTCATAAACTGCATCATCACAACCAAAAACAATATTAAAGATATTTTTCCTGTCTTTTTTTCTCTGATATTCTGCAGGTTCTGGGAGAGGTCACAGTGAGTGCTCAAGCAGCAGAACTGGTCAAGAATGAAGTCATGCTAGTGAAAGATAAAGCCCAGAAAATTGTGGATGAAATCGAACTGGACAAAAATATAGCAAAGGGCAAACTAATAGCTGCAAAGCCAGCTCTAGAAGCTGCAGAGGCTGCTCTGAATGTGAGTATCTTGACTAATACAGAGGGAATTTCTTAAATACATTACTTTTATTTATTTTTCCGTTAAGATGGTAGCACAGTAAGATGCTTCAGCTGGGGCTGCTCTGCTCACCAGCTCCTTTTCCTTTCTTTATTCCTCTTGCTGCAGTTCTTCTTTCCCACCCCTTCCAACTTTTAACTTCTTAACGTACCCTACCTAGAGGAAATGGAGAACAGAGTCCAAGACCAGCCCAGTGCAGGAGACAAGTTGTGGCTGGAGCAGGAGCAGAGCGAGTGCGGGCCAAGTCCTGGAAGCAAGTCGCAGTTGGAGCCCAGAGCGGGAGCAGAGCGAGCGTGGGCTGAGTCCTGGAAGCAAGTCGCAGTTGGAGCCCGGAGTGAGAGCAGAGCGAGCGCAGGCCGAGTCCCAGAAGCAAGTCGCAGCCGGAGCCCAGAGTGGGAGCCGAGCGAGTGCGGGCCAAGTCCCAGAAGTGAGTTGCAGCCAGAGCCCAGAGCGGGAGCAGAGCGAGCGCAGGCCGTGTCCCGGAAGCGAATTACAGCCAGAGCCTGGAGCTGCAGCAGAGCGAGCCCAGGCCGTCTGGGGAGACAGGTCCTGGACAGAGGTCAGCGCGTGGAGGCAGCGTGGACTCGTGTTCTGAAGTCTGGCTTGAATGAAAAAGGACTATAAATTGAGTACTTTAAAGATACTTTATTCTCATTCTGGACTTTTTAAACTCTGTATTCCCATGCTAGCCTTTTCTTCACTACTTCAATTCTGTAAGAACACAAAGTATCTGTACCTAAGATGGCACCAAGAGGCTACATTACAAACTTTTCACTGTGCTCATTTGAGTGCACATGACAATAAAGGCTATTCTACTTATTCCATTCTATTCTATTCTATTCTAATTTTGTAAATACACTACATTGAATTCCCATGGTGCTAAAATAAGACATCTGAGGGCAATAGAAGTAATTTAAACCAAAGTTGTAGCATTGTGTATGTTGTTAAGCAAGAAATGAGGTAATGAAGGAGCAATTTGGAAGCTTAAACAGACCAAATCTAACAGAAGTAGACAAATTGAGCTTGTAATAGGAGCAGGAGATCCATAATTGAAGCTAAGTATTTATTAAGGTAAAAGAAAACGGATCCATTTGATGAAGTCATTAAAGCAAACAAGAAATTCTTCTAAAATGTAAGGCAACAGTCATTATTATAAATACCATGGTCAACATGAATCCATTCAGGGAATGCTGTTCAGCAAAAGGGATTTATCTTTAAGGTAAAAGTTGAGATTGCTGGAAAAATACAGCAGGTCTGGCAGCATCTATTAAGAGAAGACAGTTAACGTTTCAAGTCCAGTGTACCGCCAGAAACAAAAACAGAAATTGCTGATGAAACTCAGCAGATCTGGCAAGATTTGTGAAGGGAAAATAGAGTTAATGTTTCGAGTACAGTGACCCTTCTTTGGCAATTTCTGTTTGTTTATTTCAGATCTCAAGTATCCACAGTTCTTTGTTTTATATTATTCATCTTCAAGATTGCAAGCAGCGGGATTTATTCATTGAAATCTGGGAAAAGGTCAAAAATTGTTTATAAGGCCATGAAGAATGGGAAATTATCAATTTTTGTTTGCAAAAATGTGGGAAACCTTCATTTTGATCCCAGATACTTCAGTTTTGGCCACGAAAGCTTGAGAAAACATTCCAGTAAGCAGGACAGGGAAATAGCATTCTGACTGCACAGTTAAAACGCTGTAAGACAAGGGAGAGAAAGCAACATTTCTATACAGCAGATTTTACATTAAGCAGGCAAAGAGAATAAAACTGTACGGTTAAATGTCTTTAAGGGAATGAGAGTAAAACACATCGAGACAGTGCATTCCTTTTTGCTCCTCCAACTTGAATTTCTTCCTGTATCATTGTGTCATGGTCAGTTAGCTCACCCTCACTCACATCCAAACAAGCTGAAAAAAAACCTTACGTCTTTTGGAAAATTGCAAAGACTTCTTCACTCCTGCCTTCTGTGTTCCTTTACTTGTCTCATTCTCACTTGTGCTCTACTGTTCTTTACAGTATATAACAGTGCATCCACATGGTCAGGGAGGTATATCACCTAGAATGATGACAATGCTACAAGTAATTTTGCAACACAAGGGATATCAGGTATTAGAGAATGTATGTGTTTTATGCACTTTTATGCATGGATGCATGGATACTTAAGCTTCATTCAAATGGCAGAAGAAGTTCAACAAGTTCTATTGACAGTTTTTATTCTTAGTTCTTAGGGCTAAAGGAATCAAAAGGTACGAGGAGAAAGCAAGAACATGCTGCTGAGTTGGATGATCCACAATAATCATATTGAGTAGCGCAGCAGGCTCAAAGGACTGAACAACTGTTTCCTGGCCCTATTTTTTATGTTCCTATGACAGTAAGCAGGTCAAAAGAGAGATGGTCATGCTAAGCCCATTCAGAGATAAACCAGTCAGGCAGTAACTGGTCAAGAAGCAGCCAGTTATGGAAACACAGCTCAAGGAATTGTTAATTATTAAACAGTTATTGAACAATGAACAACTAATAGAACATTTCATTGGCTTCCTGGACTCATGGCAGAACCCACAAAGAAGGAAAAATCTGTTGACGTTAGCTGTGATGACAGAAACCAGTCGGCAGTGTGGTGGCCTGAGGTTCTGCATAGATATTGAAGGTCTCATAAAGCATGGTGAAATCTGCAACTATGCAGAATTGGCAGAAATGTTTTCCATCACTGAAGGAAATTCAGATGAAAACAAAAAATCGGTAAAGCTTGCAACAAAACACAAGTAATGAGAAAGATAATGAGCAGTATAACTCACTTGAACTCCGTGGTGAAGTTGTTCAGACAGGAACACAGCCTGGTAAACAAATCATTACAGCAGACTTGAATTTGACATCAGACAATGACACAACACAAGTTCAAGAAGTGCATTTCAATTGTTCATTTTCCAAGGAAGAATAGTCCGTACCAGTGATAGAGATCATGTAGTGATTTTTAAGTATATGATTGAGGATGTGATCATATTGGATTCACCAGTATAGTTACTGATGGGAGCAAATGGAAGTGTCCAACCTAATAAACAGGTTGAAGTACAGGATTTACATAGTTTAGCATGGGTTGGCTGGAAGATTGAGAATTTGATCTGCTTGCCCAGATTGAAGCGAGACTGCATATGGTTCCACAGAAGCCACTACTAAGGTGGGATGACCATTGTCCACAGATGGAGGACATAGTCAAGCAAAGACCAAGCTGGCACAGATATCCAAGATACTTTCAAGAGGAAATTGCCTGGCTGAGAAATCCATAATACTGCAAGAAACAAAATACCAGGTTCACCAGGCACTGTCTTCACTGAAGGAAATGAGCAAGATTGATGATGTTGTGGGGTAATTACTGTTTCAGCAGGCAATACTTCCTCTGTGAAGAAAATTCAAGACATTAAAGGTCCTCCAGAAGAGATAATGGACCAATTGCCGGGCTTATTAGGACAACTTCCTCTGTGAAAAACATTTAAGAGATAAATGGTCCTCTATAGGACAGACCCTTTACAAACCTCCTGTGGTCAAGAATAGAATCAATGTCAAAATCTTTCAAGCCAAGACCAATAAATCTTCCAAGTCTAAGAAAATGTATTCTGGGAGAACAGTGAAATCCTCAATCTTTCTGAATTTGTGAAGTCAGATTTAAGGAGAAATTAGGTAGGGATAATTACATACATGAATGAAAAAAATATTAATTTTGGAAATAAAGCTTGGGGGAAGGTGTATATAATTATAGCTCTGAAAGGATTAATGAAGACCACATGATATGCAATCAGTTTGATGGTGGTATTAGAACTTGCATGAGGAAAGGCAGAACATCTTGGGCTCTCAAAAGTGACAGGCTTGCTTTCCTAGGTCTTCCAAACACCTTAGCAACAATGGTAACTTGTGCCTTATTTATTTATTCATTCAGAGGATGAGGGCATCACTGGCTAGGTAACCATTAATTGCTCATCCCTAATTGCCCAGAGGGCAGTTAAGAGTCAACCACATTATTGTGGGTCTGGAGTCACATATAGGCCAGACCAGCTAAGATTTCCTTCCCTAAAAGGCATTAGTGAACCAAATGGGTTTTTTCTGACAATTGGAAATGGATTCATGGTCATCATTAGACACTAATTCCAGATTTTTATTCAAATTCCACCATCGACCATGATGGGATTCGGATCTGTGTCCTCAGAACATTACCTGGGTCTCTGGATTAACGCTCCAGTGATAATACCACTAGGCCATTTCCTCCCCCTGGCTGCCATCATGCAAAAAACGACATTTTTAAAGACAAAAGCCTCTTATCATTAGGCTACCTTGTGGTTTTCCTCTACCACTTTAAACCAAGTAGGGTGTATAACCCAGTCATAGAAGAGAAAACGGCAGCAATTTTCACAGCCATGTGAGAGTAGGCGATGGTTGATATACCATTATGGCAATGATCACCATTGATGCAGATCAGAGATCCTGATGCAGAGTTCCATGGCCTCATCTGGGCAAAAATAGGAACCAGGTCAGGGAAATAATGAAGGAGAAGTGATCAACAAAAGGAAAACAGTATAACATGAAGTGGGAGACAGATTTTTATTCTGTTTGACTAGGATTTTGATAAGTTACCATTTCTGAGTATCACCCATTGTTTTAGAGTCATTGTTCTTAATCTTATCGCAGAGGTCCATGATACTAATGTTTGGCAAAAAAAGTACCCAAACCTGCATTTGCTAGTCGAGGTACAGGGAGCAATTCTACTTCAGTGGCCTTCTAATTGATTCTCTGTTATTATTACATTATTTACGTCATGAATGTGCCATTATGACATTACAGATATTTAAGAAAAAAAACCATGTTCAAAAACCCTTTCAAGATCAAAGGCAAACTCTCTGTTCCCGGAGGGGATTGAACTCTAAATAAATTTATCTTCATCTGAATCATGAAGGAAGACGTAGAGAATTCTAAGTAACAAATGAACAACACAATGAATCCTTGTAAAAGAATAAGATTTCAAAACTTCTGAGAGAATAGGAAACTGGAAGGACACCATAAAGGAATTCCAAAGTAAACAATGGCTCATTTGAAATGAACACTATGTCCATTTTGCTTTGGTTATGATAAGAGATCCTAAGAACCATCATTTTCAGCAGAGCTCCAACAAAACTCTGAAAGCTACCACCAGAAAAAACATTCTCGACAGGGAGAGTCAGGAAGACAAACTATCTAATTGTTATTGAAGCCATCTAGCATGGGCCACTCATTTGAATATTGTAAAAATGAAATAAAGGAGCCTTTTATCCTGTTCAGTTCACCCATTGGACGCTTTTTTCTATTCATACTTTCTACATAGACAGTTAAGAACGTACAAAATTGAAAAAGGAGGAGGCCAAATAATCCCTCGTGCCTGTTCCATTATTCAATATGATTATGGTTGATTTGATTATTTCACTACACAAGGTATCATAGTCCTAAATTCTGACTTCAATTTTACAACTGCTTCACATAAGAGAAATCTTCAAAAAGACAGACCTGCAGTGATAACAGAGATTTATAATGCCTTCAATGCTCGAAGTATATTTTATCCATACTTTTAATCTTTTTATTTGTATTTTAGTTAATAACAAGTTAAATTATTTTTAATTTATTAAGTTTTCATAGAAGTTGAGTAATAAACTGACATTTATCTTTTTTAAAGCATAAGCTTTACTGTTTTATTTTAAATTGAAACACTCACAAGCTAAAATCTAAGGTGGGTGGGGGTTGAGCTGACCAAGTTATGCCAACAATCCATTTTAAAATATAACAAATCTGGACAATATCCAAGCTTGGGCAGACAAGCAGCAACTAACATTCATGCCAGACAAATGCCAGGAAATGACCATCTTCAATAAAAGGACGCATCAAACCACCACCTCTTGACGTTCAATGGCATTACTATTAATGATTCCCCCGTTATCATTCTTGGGGTTACCATTGACCAGAAACTCAACTGGATTTGTCACATAAACATGGTGATTACAAGAGCAGGTCAGAGACTACGAATAGTGCAGCGATTAACTCACCATCTGACTCCCCAAAGCCTGTACATCTACAAAGTCAAGGAGTGTGATGGAATACTCCCCACTTGCCTGGATTAGTGTAGCTCCAACAACACTTAAAAGCTTGACATGATCCAGCACAAAGCAGCCAACTTGATTAGCAGCACATCCGCAAACATCCACTCCCTCCACCACGAATACTCAGTCGCAATAGCATGGACTTATCTACACAATGCACTGCAGAAATTCACCAAAGATCCACAGCAAGCACCTTTCACACCCACAACCACTACCATCTAGAAGGACAAGGGCAGCAGATACATGGGAACACCACCACCTGCAAGATCCCCTCCAAGTCACTCACCATCCTGACTTAGAAATATATTACCATTCCTTTACTATCATTGGGTCAAAATCCAGGAACTCCCTCCTTAAGGGCATTGTGGGTCAACCCACAGCAGGTGAACTGTAGGGATTCAAGGCAGCTCACCACCACCTTCTCAAGGGCAACCAGGAATGGGCAATAAATAATGGAACAGCCAGTGATACCCAAGTCCCATATGTGAATAAAAAAATACAAATTTGCAGTTGCCAGCACTCTGAACTGGTGTAGCCTTGATACTTGTAAAGAGCAAGGAATTAAATGTTGTGTGTATATATTTCCTTGTTTGCCACATTTTCACTGCTGCATGGCAGTCACATGGTGAGAAACATGGTATCAGTCCACCAGATGTACAGAATAAATGCATTCCATGAAGCTCCAATATTTTGTATCTAAAGTGTAATTATTTCTAACTAATGGAAATCATAAAACATGACGTGGACAGGCTCCTGATGCAACCAGCACACTTACAGGACCAGCAGCTTTGAAGATTCCTCATTGATTCATTGAGGTTTAGGACCCATCGAGTCAACACCAGTCAAAAACAACCACCTAACTATTTTAATCCCATCTTCCAGCACTTGACCTGTAGCCTTGTACACTTGTGATGCAAAGCATACATCTAAATGCTTTTTAAATATTCCAGATTCCCACCACCCACTGCATGAAGAAAAGGTGTTTCCTCACATCTCCTCTAAATGTCCTGCCCTTAACCTTAAATCTATTTCCTCTGGCCATTGATCCCTCCAGCAAGGGCAAACGCTTCTTCCTGTCTCCCCTATCTATGCCCTTCATATCTCAATTATGTCACCTCTCAGTCTCCTCTGCTCCAAGATCTACAATTACACACTCGAGAGAAACCACCAAAGTAATTGAAATGCTGCAGCCCCAAATCAAAACATTCCTTTGAAGAGAAACGTGACTGGCTGCCATTTTCTGCTGGGCATTTGTTGAATCATGTAATGCCTGTAACTGCCTGTACTTATTAAGATCACATTAACAAGTTCTATTTCTCTTCCCAGACAATAAAACCTGCTGACATTTCTACTGTGCGGAAATTAGCCAAACCACCTCACCTGATTATGAGGATTCTTGACTGTGTGCTCATTCTCTTCCAAAAAAAAATGGATGCAGTCACCATGGACCCTGAAAGACCCTGTCTCAAACCATCCTGGGGCGAGTCTTTAAAGGTGATACAATTTATTATAATACTGTGAGGTTTTGCCAACTGAACTTACATTTTGACTGATAACCAATTGAAATAACTGCACAGAGGCCAGTATCCTGTCACCAAGTCACCCTTTATGTACATGTGCACAGTGCACTAGCTGTGGCCAACCAGCTCAGAGCCAGTCCCCTGAATCAAGGATATTCCAAATCTCCTGGTTATATTTATATTCTTTACTTTTTGTAGAGAAATGACAGAGCAATAGCAACATTATGTATATAAGGGGATCTTTAATTATTCAAATTTTGATTAGGATATTGGTAGTATTGGGGGCAACAAGATGCAAGTTGTTTCTAGATTGTGTTCAGTAGAAGTTACTACAAAAGTAAGGACTACAACAGAAAGGATGTACTTTTGTACCTGGTTCTTGTAATGAGATAAGTCAAGTGCTCAAGTATCAGTGGAATAACATTTAGTGGATGATGATCATTATACTGTAAGACTCAGGATGACAGTGGAGAATGACAAAGGTCAATCCACATGAAATAACTGCAGAGGTCAATATCCCATCACCAAGTCACCCTTCATTTACTTGTGCACAGTACACTGACTATGACCAGTCTGCCCAGAGCTAGTCCACTGAACTGAGGAGATGCCAAATCTCCTGGTTATATTGGTCAGCCAGGGCTATCCTGATTGGCCCAAATTAACAACTAATCAAGGGTCTCGTGATCAACAAAATCCAGCTGGTTCCAATTACTACATGCCTCCCATGCCCCTCCCCACCCCACCCAAGTCTGGGGATGTAGGCCTGATCTTTCTCATGTAGCTTTCCTTGCAACCCCAGTTCCATTTTCAACCTAGTTCCAGTTCCTCTGACTCAGACCCTGATAGGGGCAACATGTACCTGACTGTAGCCCGTCTATTGCACCTGGAGCATCTCGGGAGAGTTTCTTTCTACTCTTCTTCAGGAGGTAATGGTACTGACGCTGCATCCATCTCAGACATTGACGTTTCCTCAACACTACATGGACCTTCTGGCTGTTCTGAGGGGCCAGGTATGTTTCACTCCTGTCCTGGCTACAAGGTAACAGCTTTCAGGTGATCCATGTGTTTGTTTAGGACTGTATCACATACCCAAACTTTGTAAGTCACAGCACCTGACCTCCATCAATCTCGCCTCATACCCAAACAGGGCCATTTCCATGCTTCCGGCACCAAACTTCATCCATAAAACCATACTTCACAGGAGCAGAAATTGGGACATTTGGCCCATCGAGTCAGCTCTACCATTCAATCACAGCTGATAAGTTTCTCAACCCCATTCTCCTGCTTTCTCCCTGTAGCCTTTGATCCCCTTAACAACCAAGAACCTATCTATCTCCATTTTAAATATAGAACATAGAACAGTACAGCACAGTACAGGATGTTGTGCCGAACTTTTACCCTAAACCTAAGGTCTATCTAACCTCCACGGCTGCCTTATACTATCATCCATATGCCTATCTAATAGCCGCTTAAATGCCCCTAATGAGGCCAACTCCACTACCCTCTCCGGCAATGCATTCCACGCCCCTACCACTCTCTGAGTAAAGAACCTACCTCTGATGTCTCCCCGATATCTACCTCCTTGCACTTTAAAACTATGTCCCCTCGTAAAAGTTACCTCCACCCTAGGAAAAAGTCTCTGGCTGTCTACTCTATCCATATCTCTGATCATTTTGTACACCTCTATCAAGTCACCTCTCATCCTTCGTCGTTCTAAAGAGAAAAGCCGTAGCTCTCTCAAACTTTCCTCGTAAGACCTTCCCTCCATTCCAGGCAACATCGTGGTAAATCTCCTCTGCACCTTTTCCAACGCTTCCACATCTTTCCTGTAATGAGGTGACCAGAACTGGACACAATACTCCAGATGTGGCTGAACCAGGCTTTTGTATAGCTGGAGCATAACTTCACAGCTGTTGAACTCAATCCCTCTATTAATGAAAGCTAACACACCATACGCCTTCTTAACAACTCTATCCACCTGGGTGGCAGCTCTCAGGGAACTGTGAACATGAACCCCAAGATCCCTCTGCTCCTCCACACTGCCAAGAATCTTTCCGTTAACCCTGTATTCTGCTTTCAAGTTTGTCCTTCCAAAATGAATCACCTCACATTTTTCAGGGTTAAACTCCATCTGCCACTTCTCAGCCCAGCTCTGCATTCTATCAATGTCCCTTTGTAACCTAGAACAGCCATCCGCACTGTCCACAACGTGACCACCTTTTTATCGTCCGTGAACTTGCTAATCCACTCTTCCACTCCTTCATCCAAATCATTTACAAAAATCACAAATAGAAGAGGACCCAGAACAGATCCTTGTGGTACACCACTCGTAACTGAGCACCATGTTGAATATTTTCCGTCCGCTACCACCCTTTGTCTTCTAAGGGTCAGCCAATTCTAAATCCAATCTGCCACATTTCCCCCTATCCCATGCTTCCTTACCTTCTGCATGAGCCTACCATGGGGAACCTTATCAAACACCTTACTAAATCCATGTATACCACATCCACTGTTCTACCTTCATCCACGTGTTTGGTCACCTCTTCAAAGAATTCAATAAGGTTTGTGAGGCATGATCTACCCCTCACAAATCCACGATTATCACGAATCAAACTGTGCCTTTCCAAGTGATCATAAATCCTGTCTCTCAGAGCTCTTTCCAATAATTTGCCCACCACTGACGTAAGACTAACTGGCCTGTAATTTCCAGGGTTATCCCTGTTCCCTTTTTTGAACAAGGGAATGACATTTGCCTCTTTCCAATCTTCCGGCACTATACCCATGGACAGTGAGGACGAAAAGATAATCGCCAAAGGCCCTGCGATCTCGTCCCTCGCTTCCCATAGAATCTTTGGATAAATCCCATCAGGCCCGGGGGACTTATCTATCTTCAACTTCCTCAGAATTCCTAGCACATCTTCTTTACTAACATCAACCTCCTCTAGCCTACCTGCCTGTTTCACAACAACCTCCTCTCCAACTCGGTCCTTCTCAGTTGTGAATACTGAAGAAAAGTATTCATTAAGGACCTCTCTTATCTCTTTAGGCTCTGTGCACAAATTCCCTTTACAATCCTTGATCGGCCCTACCCTTTCTCTGGTCATTCTCTTGTTCAGCACATAAGTGTAAAAAGCCTTGGCGTTTTCTTTGATCCTATCCGCCAAGGTTTTCTCATGCCCCCTTACAGGTCTCCTAAGCCCTTTCTTCAGCTCCTTCCTGGCTAACTTGTATCCCTTACAGCCTTTTTCGTTCCTCTTTTCCTAAACCTTATATAAGCCTCCTCCTTCCTCTTAACCAGTCGTTCGACCTCTTTCGAGAACCATGGCTCCCTCAGTCGACCGCATCTTCTCTGCCTGCTAGGAACAAACATATCAAGCACATGCAGTATGCATTCCTTAAACAATCTCCACATTTCTGTGGTGCTCTTCCCTGACAGCATCTGTTCCCAATTTATGTTACCCAGTTCTTGCCTAACTGAATTGTAATTACCCTTCCCCCAATTATAAACTTTACCCTGCTGTATGTACCTATCCTTATTCATGACTATCGTGAAAGAAACAGAGTTATGATCGCTACCGCCAAAATGCTCTCCTACCAACAGGTCTAACACTTGGCCCGGTTTGTTGCCAAGCACCAAATCCAAAGTGGCCTCTCCTCGTGTTGGTCAATCTACATGCTGTGTCAGGAATCCTTCCTGAATGCACTGGACAAAATCTGCTCCATCTAAACTATTACAACTAAAATGTTTCCGATCAATATTTGGCAAGTTGAAGTCACCCATGACTACAACCCTGTGACTTCTGCACCTTTCCAGTATCTGCCTCCCAATCTGCTCCTCCACTTCTCCGCAACTATTTAGGGGGTCTGTAAAAAACCCCCAACAAAGTGACTGCTCCTTTCTTGTTCCTGACCTCAACCCAAACTGACTCTGTAGACATATCATTCTCGAACTGCCTTTCAGTAGCTGCTATACTCGCCCTGACTAGCAATGCTACTCCCCCACCTTTTTTTCCATCCTCCCTATTTCTTTTAAAGCATCTCAATCCCAGAACTTCCAACAACCATTCCTCTCCCTGAGGTACCCAAGTTTCTGTAATGGCCACAACATCGTAGTTCCAAGTACTGACCCATGCTCTAAGTTCATTCGCTTTATTTCTGATACTTCTAGCATTGAAGTATACACACCTCAAACCATCTCGGTGTCCACAATTACGCTCCATCGACTGCATTTCTTTATGAACCACCTCACTCTCCGTTGTGTCTGTTAGAAGGCCGAATACCTCATTCCTCTGAATTATAAATCCGGTTCCCCACCTCCTGCCAAACTAGTTTAAACCATCCCGTACAGCTCTAGCAAACCTCCCTCTCAATATACTCAATAACCTGACCTCCACAGCCTTCTGTGGCAATGAATTCCATAGATTCACTACTCTCTGGCTGAAGAAGTTTCTCCTCATCTCCGTTCAAAAGGGTCTTCCCTTTACTCTAAGGGTCCTAGTCTCTCCTGCTAATGGAAACATCTTCCCAATGTCCACTCTATCCAGGTCATTCAGTACTCTGTAATTTTAAATTAGATCCCCCCCACCCATCCTTTAAATTCCAACAAGTGTCGACCCAGAAGTCTCAAATATTCCTTGTATGTTAAGCTTTTCATTCCTGGGATCATTCTCATAAACCTGCTCTGGACCTGCTCCAGGGCCAGTTCATCCTTCCTGAGATATGGGGCCCAAAAATTGTTCACAATATTCTAAACATGGTCTGACCAGAATTAAATTGTCTCTCTCACTTAGGGGAGGCATATGGCCGGCATTGGTGTTCCTGCTGCTATTTCTTCCTCATCCCCACCTCCCGCCAGGTCTGGAAATATTAGGTTTAACATAGTGCAGAGTCTACCCCCATCAACCATGTCGCTGGAGCTATCCCTATTGCTGTGTGAGGGGTGGTGTACGATCGAACAGGAACCGGGACAGTTTGGTATCAAGTGATGCTGTAGGCTGTTTCTTTAAGCCTACCTTCAATGTTTGGACTGCTCTTTCCGCTAGATTATTGGACGATGGATGATATGGAGCTGTCCTTATATGCTGAATGCCATTTGACTTTAGGAAATATTTGAATTCCCTGTTGGTAAATGATGTCCCATTGTCCATGACCAATACTTCCAGGAGACCATGCATTGCAAGCAATTCTTGCAACTTTTCAAATGTCATCCTTGGGTTTGCTGATCAAACTTTGTGTACATACAACCACTTTGAATGGGCATTCACGATGACCAGGAACATTGAGCCCATGAAAGGACTAACGTAGTTGACTGGAATCGAGTCCAGGGTTTACCCGGTCATTCCCACGAACGTAGGGGCACGCTGATGGCAATTTCTGTCTCTGTAGGCACTCTGGACACTGCCCCACCAATCCAGCTATGTCAACATCCAACCCTAGCCACCAGACATATCTTCCTGCTAGCATCTTCTTCTTGGGAACCCCTAGATGACCCTGGTGGAGTTCATCCAGTATCTGGTGGCAACCTTTACTCGGGACAATCATTATTGCTCCCCATAGTAATATTCCATCCTCTATGATGATCTGGTCTCACCAGGTCCAAAAAGGTTTCAATCCTGATTGCGATGGCCCTTCTGTTTACCCCATTACCACTGTTTTAGTTTTGCTACGACAGGATCTTTTTGGAATATTTTCAAGGTGTTCAGCTCCCCATCCTTTTTGAATAGAATTATATGTCAAACATACTGGGGGTGAAATTGCTGTGCACCATCAGCCAGAATGGGCTTATAGCAAATTGAAGATCCATCTTACACAGAACAGATGTCTATTAACTTCAGTGAAATAGAGAATCTGGTTTAGCGTGAAATAATTCTAAGCTCATTTTGCTTTTTTTTTTCTTATTCTTTTCTTTTAATATATATGTATATATCCAGAAGTGATATCACACACAACTGAATGGTTTTTCCCAAGTCCAAATCACCTCTGTCAATTTTTACCTATTAACCATCACCAGCAAAAACTGTAGATGCTGGAAGAAGGGTGTAAACCCGAAATGCCGACTTTCTTGCTCCTCTGATACTGCCTGACCTGCTGAGTTCCTCCAGCTCCACACTGTATTGACTCTAACCATTAAATCCCTTGTGTTTCCAATTGTTCAATTTACATGCAGTGCCCATTAAGGGCAATATGAGCCCATTTTGTTCTACTGGAAAAAACTAATTTCACTTCCAGACACTGCCACACGTTTCAGGTTGATTATTACAGCCATTGAACATTGATAGAGTTGTATCTATGGGCTTTATCTTGAGAATCAATCTTTGTAACCTGAGTGAGTTATAAATTCACTCCACAATTTGCTTTCAGAAACAATAAGAAAAATATTGCAGTTTTTTGTGTTGTTTGTTCTTTATTTCATGCTTTAGTACAATTTTGGGAATTACTGAACAAAAAGGACCAAGGTCTGGCATTTTGATACTCACATGATTCAACAGTAATCAAGTTATCAATGAATTAAAGCGATCAATTTCAATCAATGATTTAATCTGAATTGCAACAAGGAATTTTTGTCACTCCTTTATTCTAGTTGTTGAGTGGCACTGGCTTTCTCCAGGCCCTGCAGCAGTTTCCAAAGGACACCATCAATGATGAAACAGTAGAGCTTCTCCAGCCATATTTCATGATGGAAGATTATACATTTGAACATGCTAAGAAAGTCTGTGGGAATGTTGCTGGCTTGTTATCCTGGACTCAAGCTATGGCTTCTTTCTTTGCAATCAACAAAGAGGTGCTGCCTCTCAAGGTAATACTGAACAAAAAAAATATTAAAATGAACAAAAGCACAGAAAAGATTTCACTGTATGAATGGATTTCTGTACAAATATCTTTCAGAATTATGGACTCTGCTGTTTGAATGTTTTCATATTCATGCAGAAGTCTAAAGGAAAATAGAAATGTTAATGATTTCCAGCTTGTTTCAAAACTTCATTTATGAAGAACACAGGGTGGAGCATTGGTGCCTTCATTTTATGGTCTAGCTTTAGCTGTGCTTATATCTAGTTGGGCATTGGCCAAACATCTTAAATTTTCCTACCATGTTAAAGGGATATCATCTTTCATGAAAAAAATGGCAAAATACTTGTTGGTCATTTTCGTGCTTGAACCTATTCTATTATTTAAATCAGCTCATGGCTGATTGGACCATAAATCTATTTCCCTGCTTAGGTTCCAATATCCTAAGTACTCTTGCCTAACAGAAATAAGAGAATTTTCAAATGACACAATTTCAACCACATTTTGGGAACAGAGTTCCAGATCCTCAGCACCCTTTGTGCTCTGACATCACGCATATATAATTTGACTCTAATTTTGAGATTATACCTCCTCATTCCCCTTTAGGGGAAACAGTTTCTTTCTATTTACTGTATTAAAACCTTTAAACATCTTAAACATTAGGTCAACAGTAATCCTGTATACTCAAGTGAATACACACCTAGATAATGTAACTAATAATCCTGATAATTTAACCTTTTGAACCCAGGTATCATTCTAGTCAATCAGCACTTTCATGACCAATTGTGGTTCCTCAGTTGCATTGCTCAAAACTAAATGCGTAGGTATTCTGGATATATTTGACCTAGAACGTATGGCTTAATGTCTGCTCCTTTTTTCTTCCTGGACCTCGAGATAAAAACGTAACATTCTATTAAAGTTCTGGATATTTTCTGTAGTTGCTGTGCACTAATTTCTTTTTATACAAATGTCTATATATATCTGTCTTATTAGTTCCTAAACTCTCTCTTATTAGAAAATATTCTGACCTAGCTTTTTTCAGCTTAAAGTAGATGTGTTCACACTTTCATATCTTTTAACTTAATTTGCCACAGATCTTCCCATACACCTAACGTATCAATTTTTGTTCAGGTCTAATTGCTGTAACATGCTGATATCAATGAGAAGGAGAATTTTCTTGGTGCTAACATTGAGAAGATGTTCTGTGGAATGATTGGCTCTCTGTTTTTAATACCTGTTTTTAGGCTAATTTGGCAGTACAAGAAAACCGCCTCCAACGGGCCATGAAGGAGTTGGGAAGTGCCCAGGCACAGCTGGATGAGAAGCAAGCTGAGCTCGACAAGGTACAGGCCAAGTTTGATGCTGCCATGAAGGAGAAAATGGTGAGTCACAATCAATAGAACATAGAACATAGAACATAGAACATTACAGCGCAGTACAGGCCCTTCGGCCCTCGATGTTGCGCCAACCTGTGAAACCAATCTGAAGCCCATCTA